GATTTAGAGAGTTAACCAATTAGCCTAACAGTGTTTTTGGACTGTGGGAGGAAGCCGGAGTACCCGGAGAGAACCCAAACATGCTCAGGGAGAACATGCAAACTCCACGCAGGTCAGGAATCGAACCCAGAACCTTCTTGCTGCAAGGCAGTAGTGCTACCCACTGCGTCGCTGAGCTGCCTCAAGTATAAGATGAAAAATGTAAAGTTGTTAAAGAGGCATAAATACTTTTGCAAGGCATCATAGGACAGTCCCTCCTCCTTATTTAAGACTGGCTTCAGTTTCTACATTTCTCAGATTAATTAGGAGTCTGAGGTTAGAGTCACAAAGATAGAACAAAGATTGCTGAATGATTCAGGCGTTCTGTAAATGTTTCTCTACATTATCCCCACTTGTGCTCAGAAATTGCTTCTACGCACACTCTTCCACTCTCTGTCCCTCTTCCTGTCTCATTCCCTCTTGCAGACACACGCGCAGGCTAAAGTGGTACCCTTCGGACACATTAGAGGGAGGGTGGGGCGCCAGTAAAGATTTCTTAATGGGCTCTGCCGTCCTCTTGTCCATCTGGCTTGATGATAAACACACAGCTGCTCAACATTAGCCTGATGCGCAGCAAAGCTTTCATCATTTTCTTCCTTTTTTTTTTTTGTTTTGCAACAAACCAACAATTTAAAACCTTTTTTAACAGAAGCGGAGTTCCACGGAGTGAGGAGAAACACATGGACTAAATGATCAGGAGTGTTTTAGCACTAATGCAGATGGAAATGATGGAAGCCTAACAGTAAGATTTAGGAGGACTTCTGTGCCAGGGTGTCTGTAACTGTGGTGTAAATCATCTGGATTCCTGGTCTTTGTCAGAGCTCATGAGGACCGCACTCTGTGCTGCTGTTTACATGTGAATGACACCATCCAGCCGGTCCCAGCCAAGCAGAACCCTCAGAGACAGGTTGCAGTCCTTGAGAAGGATGCCTTCCCTGCACCATGGAGCAATCTTCATCGGAGCCTTCCTCATTGTGACCGGAGGCTCCACAGCCTTCCTGGCCTCCTACCAAAGCCGCCTGCAAGCTTTCTCCCTCTGCTGTGTTGTTCTGGGGGTGGTGATGCTCATCCTGGGACTATTCTGGGCCATGAACAGCAAAAATGTAGGCAACTACAACCACCGGGATTTCGACCCAGACTGTCCCCATTACCCATACAACGACTACTCCAACTACCCCAGCCACGGTCTCTTCTCTCCTCAGCTGTCTCGATTTCCTGAGTCCCAGTCAGTCTTCCTGCCCAGGTGGGTGATAGAAAGAATTAGCTGGTTGCAAATATTAACTCTTATGACAGTACAGTTTTCCCTAGTATGAGTATGTATTTTGTAATCTATCCAACAAAAGCCATATATATATATATATAGGTAGATAAATCCAAAGAGTAGAGAAAGATATCTCTTTTTAAACGATCAGTCTGCTCTTCCCAATGCTGCCCTTTCCATAAAGGTTCAGATTTCAGCTTGCTAAGTTAATGAAATTTGCCCGCTGACTGTTCGCTCACTCAAATCATTTTCCTCTCTACGAAACCCATACAACATCTTAGGACATGTTTTCAAACAATCGTTGCAACGTTTCACCGTTCATCCTCACAGATCCATAGAGGACTTAACGATAACGTTAGACAGTTGAGGATATTTCCTGATTAGATTTTTTTAAATTATAAACTTCAGGTAAAAAGAGAAATAAAATTGGAAATTGGAAGAGCACCAATGTGTGCCCTGTTAAAGGAACAGTGGAAGATGTGGGATTCTGTTGGTCCGTTTGCTTTGCGATGACCCAGGGAACCTGGTTGGTGTTCATAGCATCATGGACTCTTTTGGACAAAAGAAGCTTCCAATTTGTATTCGGTGGCTTCAGAAAACTGAAACGGATTCATCATTATGATAATATGAGTGCACCTTAAAGGTACAGTGGACCAGGTTCTTTTTCCAGGTGGATCGTCTCAATCAGTGGTCCTCCTAACTGTCAATCATTCTGGTGATAAGTTTAGATAAGGCCGTCCTGTTAGCTATCATTTTCTGCCCACATTCAGCCAGATATCTGTGGTGAGCTACGGTTTCAGACGGTCATTGAAGCTCACCTTTCTCACTGGGGTTGTTTGAAAATGGCCGATGGTTGGAAGAGAAAAAGTGTCTACGAAGTAGATGTGAAGAAAAAGGCCTCTGAGGAGGCAGATAAATCCCAGAATGCTTTGCGCGGAGAGCTCTCCTC